CAACTACATTTTAGAAATACAAAATAGGACTCAGTTTAAACAATTTTGTAGAGAGAGAGAGAGATGTACCCATGATCCAACCTATCATCCTAGCCCAAACCACTTAAATCTACCCAATTGGCTATACAAATCATTTCTGATGGGCTTGGATGGATTATAAGTGTGTGTAGTCAAGAAATCACCAACCTAGGTAATGTTCGGTAGCGTGTAACAATGAGATCGTTTTGGTCCTGTCCACAATAAGATATAGTGTTATTCTATGTGTGGACGGTCTCCATCCACAAAATAACATGGATAGAGGCGGGCTACACCCCAATTTATCATCCACGGTATTTTCTCGTGGATGGTCCACACTATGGTGTTGACAGTTTGTGGAAAGGTTTCAATGTAACACATACACTAGTCAAATTACTCTCATTTTATTTAATATTTTAATAATTTTTTAATTTTAAAATTTTAAGTGTAACACATACACTAGCACAAGTCCGATAGTTCTCCTTCTCAACTCTTTTTTCATTATTTAAATATTAATTTTTTGATAAAAATAATATTTAAAATATTAATTTTTTATTTTTTAATATTTAAAATAATAATTTTTAATTATTTAAACAATGCAATTGTTGTCTACATATTGATGCTTTTTTTTTCAATTTATTTACCATATAAAATGCAAAAATTAGACATTTATGACCAACTGTATAGATCTCCCATAAAATGTATATGAAATATATAAAATCAAAAAATGTGGTATAGACCAATCCACACCACACCTACAGAATGCCACCATGGGTGTGGATTGGTCTGATCCATACAATCTATCCACAGTTCAGAACAGCTATGGATTGTGGTGTGGTGTGGATTGGTCCCTACCACAGGGTCTACACCCACCAATTTTTCATCCACACTACAGAATTCCCCCCCCCCCCTACAAGATATAAAATTTTCATTTGAATATACAATCAATCAATGGATGAGTGTAGAAAGCCCAGTATCAATGCTATTATCATGGTTTAAGTCTGAATCTTGTTATTTCAACTTCTTTGTCCTTGAATTTTGAAAGTAAAATCAGGTATGTATTGTGTTGCCAACAAAATATCTATTGCACTATTGGGCCTGTCCCTTATATTTGGACCCGCCTTGTATCATACAAAATTTACTACATTTATACAATGTGAAATAGTAGGCCTGAAACATTGCTGTGGTTGTTAGACAGGCCAACATTAAATGTTTGCCATATGGGCCAAAAGAAATGGACAGAACTTGGTCTCAGATATCAAGAGATAGGTCATGAATTCTAAGAATCAGATTAGGTTGAGTTCAGATCTTTTATATGCTGTAATATCTATGTAATTTGTCACGTAGTTTCCATATTAGCTTTAAACCTTGAGGACTCTGGATCTCCTGTCCACGAGAATTCTGTTCACGCCTATTCATAATACACTACCCCTCATGAATTGGGAACATCTCCCCCTGCATAATACTATGCAGGGGATGAGATATTCTCTATATGTGATTGCGATAAATGTGGGCAGAATTCTCGTGGGCAGGAGATCGGGACTCAACTTTGAGTTACTCGTATGGGTTTAACGGCAAAGTTTGGTGAATGAAGCTTAATATTGAAATAAATCTACATGATGTAATGTAAAGAGGCTCATTTCTTGCAGATTTTTCTCTATCAGCATGCATCAATTAATATCCAGGTTTAAAATGTAGAAAAGAATGTAGATTTGTTTCATATAACCAACAATTACAATGCCAATACAAGTAGAGAGCAGGCTCTAAATGTTTGATACATTTAGAAGTAAACTAATTGAGTTGAAAGAGAATACTCCCCTAATCTCTGCACCTAAACACAAATTTGCTCGAGACATAAGGTAAGAAACATGACTTAGATGCCTTAATTAGAAGGTAATAGAATTATTTAACATAATTAGAAGCACTAAGCCTCTTTATGTATTTTATTTCTTTTTTTCTATTTAATACTCTTAATTTAATTTATTGTACCTTGTGCAAAACAAATAGTGTTTTGACATTTCAGGATCAAAATCCTTAAAGAGATGAGTATATTCCAACTTGTACTATTGGTGAGGAGTTGGAACTGAGGAGTCTTTGTCAACGTTTTGGCCATTGAATTTTGGTGCTCTTTGCAACTAAACGTTCTTAAAATTGGAGACAGCGGAGGGTGATCATTGCTGCTTGAAGTGTAAGGCCATAAAAAATAAGTTTGTCCTTAGGGCCCTTTGATGTTCAAAGGATGTTCAGAAGAGAGTTCTAATGATTGACTACCGGCTATCCATTAGTAAATATCTATGTTGATGGTTTTGGAAAATTAGGCGGCGTTTTATGCCCATGGGTAGAGTTTTCTGAAGAATGAAAATGAGCAATATAGGGCACTTGTCAATTTGAAAAAAAAACATATTTTAGGAAAAAACATTTGGTTTATAGCAATATTTTTTCATTCTGCCCATTTTTATTCATTCTTGTCCATTTTAGAATTTCATTTTGGGTAAGAATGAGAAAAAATGAGAGTTGAACCAAACATGACTTTAGTTTATGTAAAAGATATCTTATGGTGCAACTAGAGGTGTAAAGTGGGCCATGCCGGGCTGTGCTGCCCTCCCCAATGAATAGTTTGGGGGTCGGCCTGTGCCATGCCGTGGGCCAGGTGGGTCCATGGGCCAAGCCTTGGTCCAAGCCGGGCCATGGATCGGGCCAAAGTTCTTTTTGCCTATTTATTTAAAAAAATTGAAAAAAACTTAAAATTTTAATTTTATATGAATTTTGATGTATACAATTGCTTATATACACAATAATTAAATAAATTAGTATAATAAAATTGAAAACAATTATTTATTTTATTAATATATTATATACTATATATTATTATATAATTATAATTTGTATAATATTATATATTATATATATAAATATATAAATAGTATATATGGCCATGCTGGGCCGTATCGCGAGCCGTGCCAGCATGCGGGCCACTGGTGGCATGGCACGGATCATCGTGCCGGGCCTGGCATGGCATGCGTGCCATCGTGCCAGGCCGCGGGCGGCACAACTTCTAGATGCAACTTTTACATACCAGCAAACTACTTGAGACTGATCTCAAGCTAAATATCATGGATAACATTTCGATAATGGGAAATGTTATCCATTTGGGAGACTTGGAAGGAATCATGAATATCCATTTGGGAGACTTGGATAACATTCCTCTGCAGTAGTCTGTGATATGACAGCAGTGTACTGTAGATGTGGAGGACTAGGGATCTAATTGGCAAATGCTATTAACTAGGCATTAACAGCTAAATTATAATGGAGCCTTGATTCTAATCCAGAAAATTTGAGCCATTTTTTTTCCATATAAATAGAAAACTGAGTTGGCTCGACTTCCAACCATATCAGTTTCTCAAGGTCCATGTTCAGCCAGGTGACAGGGTCAAAAACCAGAAGTCCAAAACCAAATTTGGTGGTTAATGTTAATCTTGGCATGGATGTGAACTGATAAATAATATGGAAAGTGAACTCTTTTCTATATTTAATTTTTCAGACAACTACATTAGAAATCCAGAATAAAGAGAAATGATCTATCTTTGCATTTGGCATTCCTTATTTTAAGGACTTATCTCCTTTTCGCAGTTAAAAACTCATTGTTCATAGAGGCATTTTAACTGAAAAAAAGAGATACAAGTACTTAAAATAAGGAATGCCAGATGCAGCCTAAGATGATTTAAGAAAAGGAAAAAACTAAAATCAACTTTGTATAATCTCCAGCTCCATGGTTTATGGATGGCTAGCTGATACAAGCTTGGCTTCTGTGCAAGTCAGGTTCATGAGATCATGCCCCATAAATAAATAATTAACTTCATTTTCTCCAAGTCATGGGAATCTATATTCCTTCAATCCCAGCAACAAATTTGATTTTCCCAGATAATGTCTGTTAGATACTTCCCCTACAGGGACATTTATGGTTAAGCACTAAAAGAGAGAGGCTAAGTGGTTCAGATGCAGAGCAAACATTGTATTCTGGATCTTGTCACCCAGAAAACCACCCCCTCCACCAGTACACACCTGAAAAATATTGGAGCAAACATTGTATTCTGGATCTTGTCATCCAGAAAATCACCTCCCCTCCACCAGTACACACCTGAAAAATATTGGATCAAATATCAGCTCCTACTCAATGTTATGGGGGTACCCATCAGGAAACTTAGGAAATGATTTTCCTTAAGTTCTCTCATAATAAGAAGATATGATTGTTCTTAGTCAGTTCTCTCTCACCTTGTTTTTCCAACTCTATTAGAATAAATTAATGGTTAAGCACTAGAAAAGAGAGGCTAAGTCGTGCAGACGCAAAGCAAATATTGTATTCCAGATCTTGTCACCCAGAAAATCACCTCCCCTCCACTAATACACACCTGAAAAAGATTGGATCAAACATCAGTTCCTATTGAATATTGTGGGGGTACCCATCAAGAAACTCAGAAAATGTTTTTTCCTTCAGTATTCTCTTGCTAAGAAAGATGTGGTTGTTCTTAGTTAGCTCTTTCTTTCACCTTGTTTTTCCAACTCTATTAGAACAAATTTTCTGGATTTCGGGAGAAATAAGAAACCTCAAGTACAAAATCTAGTCACTTCTAGGTCCCATGCTTTTAACTTTCTGCATATTGCTTCCACCAAGAGAAGACAAGAATTTGTAAATGGACAATCAATGCACCAGGGAAACATAAAGCCCCCAGTTATCTATCCAATCTCAGAAATCTATCCCTTCAACCAAAGATGTAGATCATAGGATCCATTCCTTTACAATATCATACAACAGTAAGGCACTTTTATGCTCGAATTGCTAGAGCTGATAACAAGGTTGCCTAATCATCAGCCACTGAAGGATTGATAAAAATGAATCAGGTGGAAGCTAAACACAGTATCAGTGTAAACTCTATGTAAACCTTATTAAATAGCACTAAATAATCAAGCAATGATAGAACTCTACATTCAAAGGCAATAACCAAATCAATCTCTTCCACATAATTGTATTTCTCTCTACTAATGAGTGCTTACAACTACTAAACTTTTGTAGAATTGGCAGCTGCAGATGCAAAAATAATTGAAAATCCAACTCACAAAAAGAAGTTACAACCACCATCACCACCAACACCCAAAAGAAAGAAAATAACAAGAACTGTTGTTTAAAAAAATCAACTTGTAAATTATGGAATTACAAAAAGATAAACAAAAGTAAAAGAATGAAAATCTAGTTTAAAGATAGATAATCTAGATGAGTTGACTCATCAGGTCCTAATAGTAGCCCCACTTTTCCATCTCCCTCATAGAGCTTCTAGAAGCGTTTGATAGTCCATGTATTCTGAATCCTCTGCTTTTACCGGATTAATGTTGGATAGGGATACATATGACTCCCCTTTATTTCTCCCTTCCTTTTTGGGGAATATTCTCTGGCTTCAATTTCAGATCCAATTTCAGATATTCAAACTTTAATCCAGTCATTGAGATTTCCAATGCTTGGCATTTTCAAATCCATTCTTGCAAAAGTGATAATCTTCAATGGTCTGATCGATCTCATCTTGTGTATTCATCACAAATGGGCCATACTGAACAACTGGTTCATTAATAGGCTGCCCTCCAATTAAGACGAATCTGAGGGGATTGGCGGACTTGTTCCACACATTGATCACATCTCCAGGACCCAAGACCAGGACATGGTGAGCTGACGCAGGTGAGGAATTCAAGGACCCAAAGACACCCTCCCCCTCAATTACATACACAAAGGAATTCCATGATTCTGGAATACTTTGCTTCATATGGGCTCCTGGTTTTAGAGTGAAATCAAGGTACATTGTAGGTGTTCTGGTGTATACAGGAGATTTGACACCCATTGACTCCCCTGCAATAACTCGAACTTCAACACCATCTTTCTCTGCTCTCTTGATGTCTTCCTTTACTAACTCTTGGTAGCGAGGCTCGATCCTGTCATCCAGTGTCCAAATTTGGATCAGGAAACATAGTTTGTGCAAAATTTCAGAAGTACAGATGAATAAAAATTCCTCAATTGAATAGTTACATTTTGTCCTTGGATGATAAATTGATCCAAAGTTGCAAACCCTTCTGGGATCCTTCACCAACAGGCATTTCTGAGTGGATTATCCCTCTACCGGCAGTCATCCACTGCGGAACAGAATATATGAATGAAGAAATGAGTCCCTCCAGTGCATTAAATATAAAACATTTGCATTTCTTTTACATAATTGATAAGAGATTTGATTTTTAACAAAAACTAATACCTGCACATCACCAGTTCTGATTGTTCCCTTGTGACCTGCAAAATCTTGATGGGTGAAAGCTCCCTGAAAACCATCAAAATCCAATTAGGGTCATCAGAATCTCAATCCCCACGAAGAAATTATCCAGAAAGAAAATTGAAAACTTTCTAATAACAATTCATACCTGCAACATGTATGTAACAGTCTCAAAACCTGCAAAACATAATTCTAGTTCAAATTAAAGACAACGAAGAAGAAAAAGGGAAACACCCAGGGAACAAAATAAACCAAAATGCAAATCCTAAATATTGAGGCAATCAGCAAGACTCTCAAACCTCTGTGTGGATGGTCAGGAAATCCAGCCGGAGCAGAAACTGCACGATCAACCAGCCCAAGACAAAATTAGTGCCAATCCGTAATTAGAAAGATCAATCATAAGCCAATGCAGAAACAGAGAAACAAGTATTACCAGAGAACTCATCCAACATGAGGAAGGGGTCCAACTGCTTCAATTCCATCCTGAAACCCAGAAACAAGAAATAAGTACCCAGAACATAAAGTAACTTAAAAAGAAAAAGAAACCATGAATGAAGTAGAGAGAAGGAAACAGATTTAACAACAAAAGAAACAAACTGACAACACCTTCCAATGCTTCTTCTAACGACAGCTCCATCTCCCTCACGTTGAGGCTTTGCTAAGACCTTTCTCACCACCAATCTGGGTCTACTATCAACAGAGGTTTGATCTCCTCCAGACATGTTCTTGACAAAAGATGATGAAGATGATGCTAATTTTGATCGAAAAGAAATTGAACAAGAACCAACTATTCGTATTCTCTAAGTCGATTTCTTTCTCCCTTTCTCTCTCTCTCTCGGTTCTTTGTTATTTATATATAACAAGTTAACAACTATAACGTGTTGAGCGCCTTCCGGAGAATATATGAAAGAAGAGGAGGACGTTGAAAGAAGAGAAAGAAACAAAGAAAAGGGTTTGTTGGCCTCTGTCACAAGTAACTGCAGGTCTGAGGAGGCGTGGGAAAAGGAGGTGGGTCCTATACCTTGAACCAATTATGATGATGTCACTCTCATGTCATTATGACGTGGGCACCATCTCTTTCATCCCAAGTCAAGATACAAATGGGTTCCTCCGGTGGTGGTAGCAGATCCAGCCATTCATTCTATTCATAAAATTGGGCTGAAAAAATAAGAGATGCCGATGCTGTAAACCAACCGATTGGATCATGAAGCGTGGGCGTTTTTCTGAAAAACGGTACCATGTCAGATCCACGTAGGCGATTCCACAAACAACCGCCTATATGAATGTTTGGCTCAAGCATTTTTAAAATCACCTTACCAACTGTTATATGAAACGTCATCACTAAACCGTTACCTCTAATGGTTACATGATAGGGCAAAATCACCTTACCAAACAGCATTAGTGTTGCTCATAGCGTAAGTGGTAGAAACACCATCGAAGGTGTTTTTTTTTTTTTTTTTTTTTTTTTTTTTTTTTATGAAAAACGGGTCTAGCAAGCGTGGGTGTTCTTTTTTTGAAATCGGTCCCAAAAACCCACACTTTCAAACACCATCTAACATGGTGTTTGGAAGTGTGGGTGCTTTTTGGGACCGATTTTCAAGAAAAAACGCCCATGCTTCTAGGACCCATTTTTCACAAAAAAACGCTTTTGCCACGTAGGCAGTGAACAACACTATGTTGTTTGGTAAGGAGATTTTCATCATCGTTTTTCATGTGTGCTGACAGGTAAGCACCACATAAGATACACATCAGTCAACCATTGGGGGAAACATTTCATGCATCGGCGGGGTCCCAATTTTCGAGGCATGCCCGATTTTTTAATAATCGACTGAACCAAACAATGAGATACATGGGCATTTGTTGAAACGCCTATGTGGATCCGACGTGGCACCATTTTTTTGAAAAACGGCTACGGTTCCAAACATCCCCCAAGTTTAAATGATATTGTATATGTTTTGCATCAATACTGCAGATGCAACACTATTTTTTTTCTAAAAACRGTGTTGCTGATGTGTGGGATGGGAGCACCGTTTTCTGAGAAAATGGTGTCTTTTTTTTTTTTGGAGTTATTGTTGCCAGGTAGGACGCTTCCTAGAGCAGCAACAACTTTTTCTATTTGGTACCGATGTTCCAAGAAACATTTTCAGCACCGGTACCCATTATTCAGTGCCACATCACTGCCATTTCACATCCCTGTTTACAGCAACAAGTTGCAGTTCTAGAAAATGCCAAATTTGGTGTTGCTCCAAGCCATGCCTTCCTGATTTTCGAAGTGTGGCTTGGAGCACCATTTTTTATGAAAAAATGATTCCAAATAAATGCCCGTTTCTTAGATCACTTGACATGGCACTAGGGCTGTTCATAACAAGACCCAAACCGACCAACATGAGTCGGTTGGTTTTTCTTCAACACCGATCGGTTTTGGGTTACAAAAAAACATAAACTGAACCGAACCGAACCGACTTAGATATATATTATATATATAATATATTTCAGATATATTATATATATGTATGTATATATTTCAGTTTTAATATATATTTCAGCTTTATTGAGGAAATATACATATTATATATAAAATTTCTGATATATAAAATTTCAGCTTTAATCCATCAAATCATTTTTAATTTCCAGGCATCCAACCTTCGCTTCTTAGACTTGAATCCTTTACCGTTCACTCTGAGAGAATCATTCACAAAACCGGCTCAAACCGACCAGGTCGATTTTACTTAATATAGGGTTGGTTTCAGTTTCATTTCTTGGTAAACCGACCAGGTCGGATCGATTGGAAAAACGCCAATAAACCGACCCAACCCAACCTGTGAACAGCCCTACATGTCACTGATGTGGCACCGTCTTATGGAGCAATGGCAACGATGCACTACCCATCAATGTTTTGTGGGTGTATAGATTGATTTTGTGAAAAATATTCAAATAACAACTGTTTGATGGGTTGCTACATCTAATTTGTATACCTTTCAGGTGGGTTTTCTAAGGAGAGAAAGAAGTGAAACCGAGAAAATGAGAGGTCCTTGTTGGTTGTTGGGACTTGGAATAATCAATGAGCCGGGGTTTCTCTCTAATTAACATAATCTAAAACAAATGACATATCATATCTAAGCATTGCGTCTGCTAGCTTTTTTTTTTATTACATAGATAAAACAGAGATTATTTAGGTATATATTAAGACTTTATAAATCAAGCTGACTAGTTTTTGAACACTGTTGCAGTTGAGATTCATCAATGACTGTGGAAGCTTGCCGGCTTCAAAGAAAAAGGTGGAAGTGGAACTCCTAGGCATGTCATCTGGGTTCATATTCTCAAAGCAGAATGGTTTGACCAACTTTGTTTCTGTCTGGTGTCTGCACTCCAGATTTAAAAAATTCGTACGGTGTGCAAATTTCACTTTGATGGTTGGCATGGCTCCATGTGGTGGGATGTATGTGTGAATTCAGTGGATCTCCCAAGTGTTTCCAGTTTTGTCTTTCATTGGATGGAAATTTTGATGGGTGTTTGCCTGTTTGGTGCGGTGGGTTCTATGAGCAGGCCTGACGACGCTTATCCTTTGTGCTGCTGCTTGAATTGTTGAATGCTTTGCCATTACATGCTACTGGGAAGTGGGAAATCATCATAATAAATACACACTAAAGTGATGTTTGGCATCGATGCCAATTTCCCAGAAATGGGTGCCACATCGGATCCACATCAGTTACAGAAGAATCAATGATGAAAAATTTGTTTGGTTGGCTGATTTTGTTGATTCCTCGGAAATCAGTAGATAATCGTCCCTTAAAATCGGCACTGAYGAGGGATTACCATTTTCGCTGATTCCCCGATTTCCCACTGATTCCCGATTTTTTCCGACGATGTGGCATCTGATGCGACCAAGGGAAAAAGTGGTCCAAGGCTTCACGTCTCACTATGAATAGAGATGGCAATTTTCCTATAAAATAGGGGACCCACCCTGCTCTGAATGGGGTGGGTTTTCCTCAATCTTAAATGGGGATGAGTGAGAACGAGGTTTGCATATAATTCCCCGAACCTGCCCTGAAACTGATGGTAAACTAGTAAAATATCCTTAGGTTTAACATTAATTTCTAAAATACCTTTTAAGTTTTCTCCAAATCCTTAAAAATCATAGGACCCCATAATAGGGGGGTGTCCACGGTTCGGTTAACTAAACCATGGCACTTTTTTGTAAACTAAACCGGTGGTACCGGTTTTTTCAATTCTCTAAACTGAAACCAAACTGGTAGCATTGGTTAACCGGTCTGCCGATTTTTGTTTTTGACCGGTTCGGTTCTTCGGCTTTTCGGTTTTTATAATTATAATATATATATATATATAATATTTATAAATAGATCATTATAAATATAATATAAGCATATATTTATATATAATACATAGAAAATATGTGACATATTAAAAATTTATAAAATATACATAAAAATATATATACCGGTCAGTCCGGTTAACCGTCGATTTTTTGTAGGTTAACCGAAAACCGAATCGGTCCTTCAATTTTTTAAAAATCCCAAACCAAAACCAAATTGATCGATTCAGTTAACCGCATGGTTCAGTTCAGTTTTTTGGTTTTTCATGACACTCCTACCCCATTTATCTAAAAACACATCTATCAGAAAACTCCCACGGAACTAAACATATGCCTATCAGGAAACGCCTTTTCATTTTCAAAAGAGGATATCCGCCACTGCAATGGATGGCCGACGGATCCCCTATTCAGAGATGGAGGGCATCTAATGTTTTATTTATTTATTTATTTATCTTGTAGTTTCCTGTTTGTTCTATACAATTCAAGTTTGGAAGCTCAACTACCGGACCCACCATCAAATGTATGCTTTTCTTCTTCAATCTCAAAATCATCCACCGGCATCTCCCCTATTCAGCGATGGTAGAGTGTTTTTTCTTCAATCTATTGTTTAAAAACTCTTCCTTTTTATTGTGATATTCAAGACAAACAAGTTTCAAATTCTTTTGCAAATAACACACATAGTGAGGCATTTTTTTTGTAAGAATAACCAGAATCCATGTGTAGATATTTTTAGGATACACCATTTTTAATAATGTCATAGCAAAGAAGAACCATACTGATAATGATAATTTCAGGTGGAAATTCAGAATTTGCAATACATGGAATAATAATTCCAATGAAAAATGATCATTCTTGAAAATCAATACTAGATAATCTCAAAGCCAATTTCTGAAAAATCGGCTGACATGGAGGAAATGATACCAAACAACCAAAAAAAGCGATATTTGAAAAATCATTGATTCTAATAATCACCAATTTTTGAAAAATCAGGGGTGAGAAATCATCATCAATGGCAAACATCACCTAAGGCTCAATTTGGAAAGAGTACAAATATAACTATTTACAGTGCAACTACATACAAAATAATGCAAAATACAAGCTTTTGCACTCTATACATTTGTATTTGTACTCCTCTCAAACTTAGCCTAAATTTATCTTCTAGTGAATTTTAGGGGTGTTCATAAAAAACAGAATAATCGGAAAACCAAACCGAACTGAATAAATCAAACCAAAAATCCGGTTAAAGAATTGATTTGATTCGGTTTAATTTCAAAATATTAAAAAGAGCAAAGGACCGACCCATATATACATATAATATTACTAGCAGGGACCCGTGCAATGCACGGGATTTATCAAGTGAAATAACCAAAACTTATAACTAAGGAAAGAATAAAATGTTGTTTAAAATAATTAAATATTTATTTTATAGTCATAATTAAATTAATCTAATCCCAAACTTAAGGTTTAAGACTTTTGATTAGGCTTGGATTGATCCTCATCTAGACCCAACCCACCCATGTTGCATGCATTGTAACATTCGTAATTG